ACCCAGACAGGACAAGGAAGAGAGGAGAGATCTCTATAATGGAATGGAAAAGCTCGGAGGGTGAGAAGCTGATGTGTACGTGTTGATTCCACCCATGCAATACCCCAGCGGACCCCCTCTTGATAGTACGGTGCCCTCTACGCCACTAGTCCACTGAAAAAGAAACGAAAGAGCTACACCGTCTTGAAATATACTCCGAGGGGAAGAAAACGTCTCGTGCCAGGGGAGAATCTGTGAATTATTCAAAGCACAAGATTAGTCCGCAAACATGTTGTCATCAATCACCAAAACTACCTTGAGAGAGATATGCCGTAACACCGGTCCTTAATAAAAAAAATAAAAAGGGTGAAACTCAACGAACACATTGTTGTCACGAGTTAATTTAGGAACCGAGAGTAAACTACGTGTGACTGAGGGAACACGAAGGACATCAAGCAGACACAAGGTTTTAGTGGTACGTGAAAGGAGAGATGCCTGACCAACATGTGAGATGGGCATACCTGATCCATTTGCAGTGCGAACTTGATCATGGCCGGTGTAGGGCCGGCGAGTGGCCAGTTTGTCAAGCTGGCTCGTCAAGTGGTCTGTGGCGCCCGTGTCCATGTACCAGACAGGATCCACAGAGTATGATGGAGTGAAGCCAGAATCCTGTGTAGCGAGAGCAGCTTGCTTCTCATTGCCCTTCCCATTGTTCCCAATGCCAAGAAAATCTCGTTTGAAGCGACGATGGCAGCGAGACGCCAAGTGTCCCTCAATACCGCAGAGTTGACACTCAACCCCACCACCACACGCCTCACAGTGGAGCCGCTTGCGGCCAGACGTCGGTGGAGGTGGAGCGGGCAGACGGGGCTGGCTGCCCGAAGATGACGGCGCCTTCTGCTTGGCACCGCGAGCACCTCCGCGAAGAGCAGCGTTTGCAGCTGGACCCTCCGAGTAGATGCCAACGGAGCGGCGAGCAGCGAGTCGTTGTTCGGTGTTGAGGAGGCGTGCATAGAGATCGCGAGGCGGCATCGGCATGTCACGTCCGTTGATGTTTTCAACAAGGGAATCATAGTCCTCGTCAAGCCCATTGAGAATGAATGAAGTGAACTCCTCGTCACGAAGAGGCTTCCCAATGGATGATAGTGTATCAGCCAGGGTCTTGACCTTGTTGAAGAAGGCCGTGACGGAGAGATCATTTTTCTTGACCTCACCCAGCTGATTACGGATGGCAGAAGACCGAGCCAGCGACTGTGAAGAGAAGCTGGAGTCGAGCGTGGCCCATGCATCCATCGATGTCGCGGCAAAGACCACCATGCCGGCCACGGAGGGAGTGAGCGAGGACTGAATAGCACCCAGAATAGCCTGATCCTGAGCAATCCATCGACGATGAGCAGGGTTGGACACCATGACAGAACCACCTGCAGCTGAGGGCACCGGAACCATGGTCGGCGGACAGGGCAGCGTACCATCGACATACCCCTCAAGGTAGTGACTACGCATCAGCGGTAACACCTGAGCGCGCCACAGGAGGTAGTTATCAGCAGAGAGCTTCACCGTCGCCAGATGAGCAAAGTGGAACGGTCCTGGTTCGGACACTGATGCGGGAAGCTGCGAGTCATACGTCGGAGGGGCACTGTATGGAACCAGCGCATCGGCCGACGGAGGCAGCACACGGGAGTGTTGGTGATGACCGTAGGGCTGCACAGAGGGCACGTCGTAGGACTGCAGAGGTGGCGCGGTGTGCGACCCAGGAGCTCCGTAGGGCGCGCCATGCAGTGCCTTACTGGGTACGACGGGTGACATCGCATACGGTGTTGAGGACGGAGCGACGTACGGCGCAGGGTATACCCCGCCGTAGGGCTGCTGGACAGGGGCACCGTAGAGGCCCTGAGGGCCGTATGGGTGCGGAACGGGAGCACCGTAGGGTTGCTGTGGAGGAGCGCCATAGGGGCCAGAAGCCAGCGGCGCATCGCGGGATTGGCCCGGGAACGCGCCGTAGGGACCAGCGCTAGAAGCCAGCGACGCATCGCGGGAATCGCCCGGGGCAGCGCTGTAGGGACCAGCAGCCGGCGGTGCGTCGCGGGATTGGCCCGGGACAGCGCCGTAGTGCACCGGGGCGACGATCGAGGCGCCGTAGGAGGGCGTGGGAGACCGAGCCGATGCAGATGGATCGAGTGCGGGAGATCGGGACGGCGCCATCGGGCGCGAGTCCGAGGCCGCCTGCCGAGCCCAGGCGAGCGGTGTGGACGCCATGAAGGGCGAGTCTGTTGCCAGGGTCGAGGGAGGCGGACGGCAGAGGAGGCCGACGCGGCGGCGGCGGCGGCAGCAGAGGAGGCGGAAGCGCGGCGCGAATCGAACGCGTCGTCTGATACCATGTTATACAAATTAGGGTTTGGAACAATGCTCGATACCCTTGGTGGGTACGGCTGTCATATATTTATAAGAGAGAACCATACAAGTACATGTTATGTTACAACACGTATATCTAATATATACTTAGTCTAACAAGTTAGGTGGGCCCAATCGAGTTATGTACCAGTGAGCTTAAGTAGGTAGTTACAAGCAATGTTGTTGGCGGCCATGCCACCTTCCATGAGGTTGAAGGCCCTTGTGTCACCATAGGCATGCATGCATGTTGAGTTAGTTAGTTGCTTACTTTTGTCGGAATATTTTGGGCGGCTCGTCGATAGAACTTCGCCAGGTCCTTCTTGCGTGCTATAAGCACACGTTGACTCCCAGAGGCGAGGCGAGACCATCCGTCACCGCAGCTCATTGCACAAGAAAGATTTGAAGAATCACTTGGGTATGTTGAAGGAGATGTATGACTACATCAAGGACCATGCTCGACTCACCTGAGATGGTACCACCTATCCGATCCTTCTACGACAGCAGCACTTTGCGCCCACAATCCCAAGTACCAACACCGCAGCCCCTAGCACTGACAACACAACCTGAAGAAGCAGCATTGAAGGACCAAGGAAAGGCGTTGAAATCTTAAGGTGTCGCCTTGTAGAAATTTGATATGTAATTGACCATATGGTTCAACCTGAACCTACGTACCATCCATTTATGTTTTCTTCCACTTGTGTTTTCTGCCGTGGATGGTTATAACTTGTGTTTTTCTATGTTATCATTGGATGACTATCAAATTAACTTAGAGGAAATGTCTATGAAATCTACAGACTGTGGCTTCCTGGTGATTCTAACTTGTAAAGGTTGCGAGTGTTCAGCGGCGGCAAGGTAAATAACTAAATATGCATCTACATTATATATCACCCATAAATGTTTAGAAAATGTGACAATGTGTACGAAATGAGGTTCTTCAATAGGTATGCTGTTTACTCTTAGAATATCTATGACTTCTCTAGTACCATAATTCCCAAGCCATGCCATCTTATATTGACTCCGGGTATATATATACCAGTTCGACGCAAACCATATAGAGTTCATAAGTAGCTTTCCATGATTCCATCAGCGAATCAAAGTATGATGTGAGCGTATCATGGTTAGTAACAAGAGTGATTAATTAGTTATGGTCACCTTCAGCAAGACAACTAGATTCCACGGGATAATAGTAAACATATTATTGGTAGCTCATGACGGGCTTTGTGCAGAGACATAACGTGCCAGGCAACTACTAACTGACATCATATGTGTATGGAAGCACGTATTGATGATTCCTCCGACGCGGCCTGTACAGCTGGAATATGAAAATTGATTCGGATTAGGATAGCAGGTGTCCTTAGCTCTGCATGCAAGTCAAACCAATACAAGAGACAAACCTGATCTCTGCTCGTTGTATTTATTTATTTTAAAAAGGATGATGGAGCCATGGAGGTTTCTTGTGGGCAAAGGACGTGACAATGAGAAGTTCCTTGTGCTCGAACCATCATGTTTTTTTGTGGGCAAAGTGCACGACTATGCCTCTGCAAGACATTTGTCAGGATTTTTCTTCTTCTTTTTATTTTTTTCAAAAAAGAGGTTGGAATTATTGTGATGCACACATCCATCTATATTGAAGTTGATCTAAGGCAATGAAACATTTGTCAGGATGATCAAGGCTTTTCTCATTCAAAAAACATCTATATCAGTAAGTCACGGAGAATTTGGATAGATCGACCTAATACCTGATTTGTTGCATTTACCTGTCATATAAAATTACAATTACTGACTTTGAAAGGGAACACAGTAGCAATAATAATTCCATGCATTCATATGAACCAGATTACAACGCCTTTAACAAATCTTCTGTAATATGCACAAAACTATATTATAGCACCACCGTACAGTAGGATTTACTATATGAACATATAAAACATAATGGAAAAAACATGCATGCATATACATGCACCAAATTAGATGAAAAAATGAAACACACTAGGTCTGTGTAGTTGCTAGTTCGTTGTGACGGCGACGCCTCTCATGGGAGAGCTGCTTTGCAAACTTAGCTAGTTGCTCCGCGTTGGTACCCTCGTCGGGTACCTCCACATTCTGGCATGTCTCTAGGTCCACCTGAGATACCTTCTTCCCGAGAAGCTCATTCCCAATCTCCACCAGCTTATCCAAGTTAGCTTTGGAGCAGTCGTCGATTGAGCCTGCGCTTCCGCTTAGTTGATCATACTGCATTTGCATGTACATCAACCATTCATTAATTACCGTAGCAGATAATTGTTGTGTACATCAATTGATGCAGAGGCCGGGCAGTACTCTCTTTAAATTACCACAATAGGCCACTCATTGTTATGTTTTCTTTTTTGGGTATAATAGGTAGGTGGGTAGGTACCTGGATACGCAAGTATTGATGGGAGGAGCCGAGCGCGGCGGAGAGGATGGAGAGGTGGATGTCGACCATGTCGCCGCTAGCCGCATTGAACATGTCGAGGATCGGGGCGGTGCCGCCCTTGAGGATCCAGTCCAGGATGCCCCACTGGGCGGTGTCCTTAGCACTATACTTGCCTTTCGGATTTGAAGACGTCCCGCAGCCGATGGAGATGACCATGTATGACTTCCCGAGCAAGTCACCGTTCCCAGCCACGATGATGTCCTCTGCCACATGGCTCATCGCATAGTGTCTACCGTAGCCATGCACGTGAGATATCGAGTCAGTTGGGCCTGCCTGACGACCGAGTTGTGTGTACTGGTGAACTTAAGTAGTTACAGGGTTGTTGGCGGCGACGCCGCCGTCAATGAGGTTGAAGGCCCTTGTGCCGCCCTTGCCGTCTTCGGTCTCAAAGTAATGCGCCGGGAAGAAGGTGGGTGCGGCGGAGGTGCCGATGGCGATGTCTGACAGGAGCGCGTTCTTCGCTGGCTGGTTCTTCAGCTGGTCAATCATGCATGCACATATGATTAGTTGATTGTTCGTTACTAGGTACTCCCTTGGTCCTAAAATATAAAAACATTTTTAACACTAGCATAGTGCCAAAAACGTTTTTATATTCTAGGAGAGAGGGAGTACATAGGTAGCATCATACCATGCATATGTGTGCATCACATGGGTACCTGGTAGCTGGAGAAGATGGTGGGTTGCAGGTGGGTGATATCGAAGGCCGGGATCACCACGCTGGTGAGAGCCCCGTCCAGCTTGGTGGCGCCGAGGTGCCGACGGAGCAACGATTGGAGGTACTTGCCATTGTACTTGGGCCCGGTCACCATCCCCAGAGCTGTGCCGATCTTGGAGAAGATTGAGTCCCTGCACCTTGGCAATTAACTCTCCAAGAATCGATGAAATTACGATGTCGTAAACTAAGGAACTGATGATCCATATACTGGTATGTGTATAGTGATATACATATGAATGCATGCTTAGTTAGTTAGTTGCATGCGTACTTCTGTGAGAAGATTTTGGGCGACTCGTCGATGTAGAACTTTGCCAGATCCTTGGCATCGAACAGCGGCCGTCCATCCTTGTCCGGCGCCGTGAGCATCACCGTCAAAAGGCCACCGGTGCTGGTGCCGGCGACCACGTCGAAGTAATCCGCGATCCGAGCATCCGGCCCGTCCAGTTTCTACGGGCAACACATTACACATGCAGTGATATATGACAAGATCGATTGATGAACATACGTAAAAGTATCTTACCTGGAGCTCCTTCTCAAGGAAGGCGAGGACGGTGGCTGGGATGATCCCTCTCACACCGCCGCCATCGATGCTCAGGATGGTCACCAGCTTATTCACCTTGTCACCTCCTGCAGAAGAACTACTACTTGCCATTGATTTGGAGTTTGGTAACACGTACAGCCCAAGCTAGCTACGAAAACTCAAGAAGAGAATGTGGCAAACTAAGGATTTAGCTAGAAAGAACAAACTTGTTATATATATAGACAGGTCTGGAGCAACCAAATAAATTAACTACTACCTCCGTCCTGGTTTATTAGTCCTCTATGTAATCTGTGCTAAATTTTAATCAAAAATTTAACTAATAAAATGTTAGTGCATGTCAACAAAATTATATTGTTGGATTCGTATCATAGTTTTAAATAGCCGGCTATAGCCCCGCTATAGCTGTTTGAGGGTGTTGCCGCTAAATGATTTCATGTACAATTTGCCGCTATAGCTCCGCTATAGCCTGCTATAGCCCAGCTATAGCTGTTTTTAAGGGTCGCCGCTAAATACCATAGCCCGCTATTTAAAACATTAATTTGTATTTGAACATAGTTTTTAATGATATAATTTTTGGTGACATGCATGAACATTTTGTTAGTTAAATTTATGATCAAAATTTGGCACAGATTACTATAAGAACCAATAAACCAGAAGAGAGGTAGTAAGAAGCAAGAAACGTTAACTCGTTCCCTCAAATACAGGGTGTAATTGCAAAGTCAGACGTCAAAAAGGACAGAACACAACTAATGCTAATGTTATATAGTATGACCCCACTGGTTAATTGTGCCCAAAAACAATCACAAAGTCAGATCCTCTCTCTCTCTCTCTCCAATCCTTTTTAATGTAATCAATTCTTATAGTTGTGTGTTTTGTATCAACTAGGTACTAGATACCAAGAACAAATAAAATATTTCTTTTCCCAAAAAAGAGTCACATAGTAATTATTTTCTTTGTATGTACTTGTGCGCCCACGAGCCTCGTTTAGAACAGGAGGAGATTATGTTGATGGTTGCTCAATGGATTTTTTCAAACTATTTACTTTCTGTGAGAAAGATTTTTTTTCTAACTATTAACACTGGTACATGCACAAGTATTTCAATTTGTTGTATGAAAAATGCTACAATATATAATTTGATTGCATTTGCATGTCATCTTTTGAGAAACATGGGCGCTTCACAGTTCGTAGTCCAAGGCTGCATGCAACTGCAAGCACCCCTTTCAAATTCATGGCACGAGGCCATAATTGGCTGGATAAGATGCCTCAACAAATGAAGGTAGTTTTTCGGAAGTTGTCAGGTGGTTCCTAGTTGTCAGGTGGTTCCTTTCAACTGCTGGTAGCTGGATAATAAACTAACAATTTGTCTAATTCACATCTAGATGTTTTTAAAAAATGTCACATTTAAGCTCCCACATATATATAATGCAACAACAAAAAACAAAAAAAATTAGGACAAAAAAATAAACCACAAACAGAATGGACATCAGCTTAGATGTGACATAACTATGTCATCTAGATGTGTTCTAAAGAGACCCATAAACCAACGCCGAGTCAAGCCCCGAATACATGTGTATGTATCTTAGTATCAGAGGGATGTGCAGACGACGTTAAGAATAGAATACGAGCCTTCCGCTATTAAGAGTTTTCAGCCTGATTAATACTCAGAGGGTGTTTGTTTCCAGGGACTTTTTTGTGTAGGGACTAGAAAAAGTCCCTCTTAGAGACTTTTTTACCAAACGGAAGGGACTTTTTAGGGACTAAACTAGACATTTGGGACTAAATGAAGAACTCTCAAGGAGAGTCTTTTTTGGGACTTTTTGGGACTTTTCCAACAATGCCCCTCCATGCATTTAATGGCCCGCCACCCCATGGTGTTGTTTGATTGTTATTTTTTTATATACTAGGGGCAATATGATCATTTAATAACCTCTAGGAAGGGACTAGGGACTTTTTAGTCTCTGCAAACAAACAGGGAGGGATTTTTTAGGGACTAGAGACTTTTTAGTTGAGACTAAAAAAAGTCTTAGGACTTATGAACCAAACAGGGCCTCAGGCTCGTGTGTGCATGTTGCATGATAGAAATTCTAAATGTTTAAAAAAGGCGTAGCAATGTTTAATCTCACCTTGTTGAGCCAAGGAGGTGGCTAGCAACTTAACAACAACTCTAGTAGAGTGGCTATATCTTTTTTTAGGAAACAACAGTACTCTGCTGCGTATTTTTATTCATTTTCAAATAAATAGTACAGCAAAATGTTCATAAAAGAGCAAAAGGAAACTATACAGAAGAAAAGAAAACTAGCAAAGCTAGCACTAGCAGAAGAATTGAAAAACAACAAAAACAAGTGGACAGTTCATACAAGGTAGGAGCAACAGCTGTTGGGTTCAAATAAAAGCTTTCACCCAGTCTTCTAGTCCATGGTATACTTTCCTCCTTGCTCTGAAAGTGAGCCACTTGATTTCTTCCTTGAATCTCTTTCTGCATGCAAATTCTTTACCCATATGACATTTTTACTAGAACATTCAGTCTAGCAAATTCGTTACCCGACACCCCATCGCTCTAATATTTTAAGCACGCTGCGAAAACTTCCTTGTAGCCTCCATATAGTGCTCCCTTCATCCACCATTTTTTTACGGCACAGACCTTTCAGGATGCCCACACCCTTCCGCCGCCACCCAAATCACCTCATAGCTATGGTTTGTTGTAATCTCTAGTCCCTGAACTGCCGCCATTTTGCACCACTCGCCGCCACTGACCCATTCAAGGCCCTAGCACACCTTGTCACAGCCACATGCCTGCTTCCCGTCGTTCGGCTGACCATTGCCATGGCTGCACCATGAGAGTTTGGACGCGGGCAAGTCTATGCCGATGTTCCTCCCTTCCCTGGCTTGCTGAGAAAGTCGGCGTCATGAGCTGACCGTTCACAACTCCATCTTCCACATCGGCCGTGCCACATTTCGCCTGCCAGATCTCACCGTGTTCGATGACTTGCCCCAATGTATGGTTGCCCCTAATCTGTCCATGTTTACCCGGCAAAACATGAAAAACCACCGGGCCATGCATGCATACCAGTTACTCCATGCACCGGTGGATACACTTCAAATCCAGAAATCACGCATGTTGGTTACTAGCCAATCTGACGATCAGCTTGTTATCTGATCGGATGGCCATGGACTGGTCTGATAGGAGGCGATGCATCAGTAGTCTGATGCTTAGTGTTTTCCTTTTTTTTATTCTTGGTATTGTACCTATCCAGTTGATACAAACACAAAGGAGTACTATTATAAAAAAAAATCTGTCGAGGACGTAGATTTCTCATAAAATTAGAAAATCATCTACATTGGTGATCACAACTACTACCTCCATCTGGGTTTATTAGTAGTCTTCATCATAGTTTAGGTCAAAGTTTGACCATATATTTGACTAGCAAAATGTTAATGCACGTCGCTGAACATTATATTGTTGAGTTCGTATTTAATTTTAAGTTTAAATGATACTATTTTTGTTACATCTAATTATATTTTATTAGTTAAAATCATGATTAAAATATGACACAAAATACGAGGGAACTAGCAAATCATGAGGAAGTAAATATAAGATAAGAATAACGACACATCTTCAATTACATTATATTAAAAATGATAGGAGAGAGAGAAAGGATCTGAATTTGTAATATTCTTTCGTGCACAAGGAACTAGCTAGTGGGGTCATACTATACTATTAGGAATTTGGGATTAGCTGGTTTTGTCCTTTTTGACCTCTGACTTTGTGATTAAGACCTGCAGTTGAGGGAGCCAACTAATGGTGTTGCTTCTTGATAATTAGTTTATGTGAACGTTGTCTATATACATAACAAGTTTGTCCTTTGTAATAAATCCTTGATCTCCCACCTTCTGTTCAAAACGTTTGTCATTTGAGCCTAGCCTCGTGTTAGCAAACTCCAAATTGATGGCAGGAGGTAGTTCTGCTACAGCAGGTGACGAAGCGAAGGTGATAACCATCTTGAGCATCGACGGCGGCGGCGTGAGAGGGATCATCCCGGCCATCGTCCTCGCCTTCCTTGAAAAAGAGCTCCAGGTAAGTTACTCCACTTTGATATGTTCATCGATGATGCTCTTCGTGTGTAGTATATCATGCTTGTTAACGGAGTATATCACTGCATGTGTTGTGTGTAGAAACTGGACGGGCCGGATGCTAGGATCGCGGACTACTTCGATATCGTCGCCGGCACGAGCACGGGTGGCCTCTTGACGGTGATGCTTGCGGCGCCGGACAAGGATGGGCGGCCGCTGTTCGACGCCAAGGATCTAGCGAAGTTCTACATCGACGAGTCGCCCAAGATCTTCCCACAGAAGTAAGTCACCAACTGAGATGCATGCATACTTTGTATATGTCGTCCATTTCTGTACTACACGCAAGTTCAACGTCGATCGTCATCTGGATTATTGCGTGGGAAGCTACAGGGGCTCCATCTTCTCCAACATCGGCTCGGCTCTGGCTCTGGCGACAGGGCCCAAGTACGACGGCAAGTACCTCCATTCGCTGCTCCATCGGCACCTCGGTGACACCAAGCTGGACGGGGCTCTGACCCATGTGGTCATCCCGGCATTCGATATCGCGTACCTGCAACCCACCATCTTCTCCAGCTTCCAGGTATCCATGCATGTGGTGCATGCACATGGTGAACTACCTAGTAGTAGTTGTTAAGTAATTGACTAAGCTTGTGTGCATGATTGATCAGTTGGAGAACCAGCCCGCCAAGAACGCGCTCCTGTCGGACATCGCCATCGGCACCTCCGCCGCACCTACCTTCTTCCCGGCGCACTACTTCGAGACCAACGATGGCAAGGGCGGCACGAGGGCCTTCAACCTCATCGACGGCGCCGTGGCCGCCAACAACCCTGTATGTTACCAACTAATTGACCTCGCCGCCGCATTCACAATACGTATAAACAATAATCTCACTCATGGACTGCGTACGTATGCTGCAGACTCTATTAGCGATGAACCAGGTGGCGGAGCACATGGTCCTCGCCGGGCAGCAGCCGGCGGGAAAGTCATATATAGTCATCTCCATCGGCTGTGGGACATCATCGCTCCCAAAACTCAAGT